GCCCAATTACAATAACTCAGGCCCAGATACAGAAGCACAACATAAACCCTAAAACCCAACTAGGATTTCTCATCTCATGCCCCAGCCGCCAGTGATCTCCACCGTTGGATCTGGCAAGATCCAACGGTCCAAAACTATCCAGCTTGAAACCCTAGGGTATCATAACCCTAGGGACCACACGGCCGCCGCCGTTGCTTCCAGACGTTCCAGCTGCCATCGCTACAGCCACGAAGCCGCCGCCTCACCAGAAGCTTCCAGAAGGCCAGCTGCCCCCCACATGTCGCGGCTATGGGGTGAGTCACCACATAGCTCGGTGACTCACCGAACTTCCCCCTCTAGACCGGTCCGAGCATGGCTCGGTGGTGGCTATAAAAGCCACCGGATCCTGCAAAACAAAAAAAAAGACAGGGAAAGAAAAAAAAAAGAGAAAGCACGAACAGCAAGCAACGGAGACAGAAACGAAGAGAGGGCAACCAACAGAAAAAAAAGAGGAACCACCAATAACAGACAGCAACAAGAACACGAACCCACAGCAGCCAATATAACAGAAAGAGAAGAAAAGAAGAGAGAGCTTACTCTGTCATTGGAGGCTTTCGAAACGTCACCGGAAACCTTCGAACTTCGAAGGTAAAATCCTAGATCTAGGAAATACTATGGGGTTGTAGGAGAAAAGGATACCAAATTTGGCTTTAGGGTTAAAAGAGCTTTGATTTGGTATGGTTTTATAAGTTCCGACCACCACTCACGGTGGTCGGCGGTCGTGGCCGGCGCCGGAGCACGGCTGCCGGCCGGTGGTCTCTCCATCTCCGTTTTAGAGAGATGACAGAGAGAAATTTCATCTCTCTCAGTTAGAGAGAGAGATGAAATAAGAAAAATGAAATCATGGCCCTTAAGGGCCGGCTTAAATGGGTATAAATACCCTCATCAAAACGACGCCGTTTTGGTGAGGGTATCTGTGTAATTTCACACATGGGTAAACCCCATCCGCAGTCCATCATTTTTGTAACTTTATATTTTAGTCACTAAATCAATTTTTAAATTCTTTCAATTCAGTCTTTCGATTTATTTAGTTTATAATTTAGTCCTAGCCTGTATACTGATATATTTAAGGTAAATATCAAATTTAGTCCCTCATAGTTTAGTAATTTTTATTTTAATCCCGTATTATGAATTATGGTTAAATCACACTGTTAGCACTCAAGTTTTATAATATTTTGAATTAGAACTTTAGTTTTATAATCTTACATTTTAATCATTAATTTCATTAGTTTTTATTTTTTACTATGATTTTTAATATTTTACATTTTAATACTATATTTTTATTTCCTTTTATTTTTATTTATTTTATTATTATTATTTTTTATTGTTTTAATTATTATTTTATTATTATTATTATTTATAAAAATAAATAAATAAATATATATATATATATATATATATATATATATATAAATAATATATATATATTTTTATTAAAATCCTATATTTCATAAATTACTTTTAATAATTATGTTTTAATATATATTTATTTATTTTTCAATATTAAGAAATGACAGTATTAAAATAACTGGATGTCCATTTTCTGATACTTTTAAATAAATAAATATCCTATTGTTTTAAAATTATATATTAATTGTTTATTTATTAATATCAAAGAAAAGAGCTATCTTAAGGCACCTAGAAGTCCTTTTCTAATATTTCTAAATAAATAAATATTTTATTTATATTTTATATAATATATTTTATATAATTATAACTTTGAAATAATAGGATTATAAATTAAATATATTTTTGAATTTTTAAATTTCCAATAATAAGAGACAATTTATAATTAATAAGTACCAATTTTGGGCGTTGTGGGGGTGCTAATCCTTCCCCAAACGTAATCAACCACGAACCCCTTTTTATTATTAAAAAAAATGAATCTTTGGTTAAAAAGCAGATCAGTTTATCTTTTAACTGATGTTTTCTTAAAAACTCTTTTAAAAGATAATTTTTAGGTATTCGACCTACCTGACCCAAAAGGCCGATGGCGACTCCCAAAATATTTTAAAAACCATTTATTCACATCAATTTTCTCGCCAAGTAAAATTTCGTGCCTGGACGAAAACCGGTTACGACAGAGGTATCGTGCAAGACTGGTGATCAAAGGATATGCTCAAAAAGAAGGTATTGATTTCAAATATATCTTTTCTCCTGTGGTTCGACTAACAACAGTTCGAGTAGTTTTGGCAATGTGTGCTACATTGAACTTACATCTAGAGCAGCTAGATGTTAAAACAACTTTTCTTCATGGAAATCTTGAAGAAGAGATTTACATGCTCTAGCCTGAAGGTTTTGAAGAAAAAGAAAAGAAGAACTTGGTTTGCAGGTTGAACAAATCTCTGTACAGTCTAAAACAGGCACCGAGGTGTTGGTTTAAGAGATTTGATTCCTTCATTATGTGCCTTAGATACAACAGACTTAACGCAGACCCTTGTACTTATTTCAAGAGGTTTGATGATAACGATTTTGTTATATTACTGTTGTATGTGGATGATATGTTGGTTGCAGGGCCCAACAAAGATCTTATTGAAGAATTAAACTCACAACTAGCTAGGGAATTTGAAATGAAGGACTTGAGATCAGCAAACAAGATTCTAGGGATGCAAATTCACCGAGACAGAAGTAATAGAAATATTTGGCTTTCACAAAAGAATTACTTGAAGAAGATCTTGTCACGATTCAACATGCAAGATTGTACGCCAATTTCTACTCCTCTTCCTATTAACTTCAAATTATCCTCCAATATGAGTCCTGGTAATGAAGAAGAGATGATAGATATGTCTCGAGTACCGTATGCATCGGCAGTGGGAAGTTTAATGTTCGCTATGATATACACGAGACCAGACATTGCACAAGCAGTGGGAGTGATTAGTCGGTACATGGCGAATCCAGGAAAAGAGCATTGGAATACAGTAAAGAGGATCTTGAGATACATCAAAGGGACCTCAAATGTTGCATTATGTTACGGATGGTCAAATTTACTTATCAATGGGTATGTTAATTCTGACTATGCAGGGGATATGAATAAAAATAAATATGCTACAGGATATGTGTTTAAAGTTGTTGGTGGAGTTGTAAGATGGGTTTCAAAATTGTAGTCAGTTGTGGCTACATCCACAATAGAGGCAGAATATGTAGCAGCTACACAAGCCAGTAAAGAAGCAATTTGGCTGAAGATGCTATTGGAGGAGCTTGGGCACAATCAAGAGTATGTCTCTATGTTTTGTGACAGTCAAAGCGCCTTACATCTAGCAAGGAATCCAACATTTCATTCAAGGACAAAGCACATACGAGTTCAATATCATTTCATTCGTGAAAAGGTGGAAGAAGGGACAATAGATATGCAGAAGATCCATACCAAAAACAACATAGTAGATTTCATGACGAAGGCAATCAATACTGATAAATTTACCTGGTGTCGATCCTCTTGTGGCCTGTCAGAAACGTAAGCAACACGAAGTTACAAGGTAGAAAGAATGGTGTGAAGATATGATTGTTCCAATCAAATCTTCAAGTGGGAGATTGTTGAAAAGTTAGCAAAAGTGGCCAAGCCACTTTCGGTGCAAATGGGTTTGCTTTCGGTGCATGCACCGAAAATGTTGACTTTTGGACAATGGTAAAATCGTAATTTAGTTATTATACTTTAGGGTATTTACAAGATTAGTCCTTAAGCTTCAACTATAAATACCCTAACCCATTTAGCTTTAAAATCATCCCAAATCATTCTAACTTTCTCCCAATACTATAGAATTTAGAGAGTTTTCTTGAGAGTTGTTTTCTCCTTTTTATCAAGAGAAAATTGTCATTGTTTTCTCCTTGTTTAGATCGAGAGAATTTGTAAGCCCGTGGTTTTTATCCTATATTATTTAGGGATTTTCCACGTAAAATTTGTGTCTTCTTTATCTTCATTTTTAGAGAAAATAACTTCAGTGACCGAAAATGTCTTATAATATACTATTTTAACAAACGTTTTTTGGATTTGCGAAAATGACCAACAAATTCGCAACGCGAACTCTAATTTCACAACACAGGTTCCAAAATCGCAACACAGTTTCCAAAATCGCAACGCGAATTTGTAAATCGCAACACAGTTTCCAAAATCGCGTTGCGATAGTACTGTTTACCTATATCGGTAATTCGCGTTGCGAATTTGAAAATCGTGTTGCGATAACATTGTTTACCTACATCGATAATTAGTGTTGTGAATTTGAAAATCTCGTTGCGAATTTGAAAATCGCGTTGCGGTAATATTGTTTACCTACATCGGTAATTAGTGTTGCGATTTGGAAAATCGTGTTGCGATAGTACTGTTTACCTATATCGGTAATTAGCGTTGCAAATTTGTAAATCGCGTTGCGATAGTACTGTTTACCTATATCGGTAATTAGCGTTGCGAATTTAAAAATCTCGTTGCGAATTTGTAAATCGCGTTGCGATAGTACTGTTTACCTTTATCGGTAATTAGCGTTACGAATTTGAAAATCTCATTGTGAATTTGTAAATCGCGTTGCGATAGTACTATTTACCTATATCTGTAATTAGCGTTGCGAATTTGTAAATTGCGTTGCGATAGTACTGTTTACTTATATCGGTAATTAGCGTTGCGAATTTGAAAATCTCGTTGCGAATTTGAAAATCGCGTTGCGATAGTACTGTTTACCTACATCGGTAATCAGCGTTACGATTTATATATATTCGCGTTGCGAATTTGGAAAACCACGTTGCGATTTACATATTATCGTTGCGATTTATATATTCGCGTTGCGATTTTAAAACTTGTTTTGCGAAATTAGAGTTCGCTGCAAATTTGAGATCACGTTGCAAATTTGTTGGTCATTTTTGCAAATCCAAAAAAAGTTGATTAAAATCGTATATTATAAGATATTTTCGGTCATTGAAATTATTTTCTCTCATTTTTATTTTCTCAAATTATCAATTACGATTTTACTCTATTCGATAGCCGTATTCCGCAACATAAAACACCCGTACTAGAAATTTATTTGGATAACCAACAAGCTCACCTCATATTTACAATGGAAGTGGTAAGCTTTCCACTAACCTTGAACAGAAAACTGAACGAAAAAAAAACTAAAAATGGGAATATCCCAATGTTATTTATGAGCACCAGCAGCATCTTCAGGAACAAGCTCATACGCTGCAATTACTTCAAACCAGAATTTCTGCCAACTCAACCGACTCAGCTATCAATTCGGTCGGGATTTCCACCATATTATCAACTGACTCGGCAATGGATAGAAAGTCAAAATCATAGATGGTTCAGTGAGAACAAATAGCTCACCATTGGTATTTGGCAGCAACAAGGACTTCCTCATATTTCTGAGCAGCATTATCCCAGCTGAGGTCTTGCATCATACCCCGTCTTCGGAGTCCGTCCCAACTCTCTTTGTAGTCACGATATGTCAATAAGCAGTTCCCTAATGCATATATTAACTTACTTGCATCCGCGCTATCAAATGTCCAACCGAGCCCCGACTCTTCAAATGGATTAAAAGGCTGCACCGTGTCCCTCAACCCACCGACGGCATGAACAACAGGAACTGTTCCATAGCACATAGCATAGAGTTGGTTCAGTCCACAGGGCTCAAATCTCGATGGCATGAGCAAGATATCCGACCCAGCCGTTATACGATGAGCTGTCTGTACAGAAAACCCTACCCATCCCCGGACTTTGTCATGATATTGGGCTTCAAACTGCCTAAGCAGCTCTTCCAGGTCCTGTCTGCCAGTGCCTAACATGATTAATTGCACATCCTGGTCTATCATCCAGGGAATTACCTCAGCAATTATATCAACACCCTTTTGCTGATCCAGTCTCCCAATAAAACCGATCAGCGGCGCTTCGTCACGAACAGGTAACCCAAGTTCCTTTTGCAAGGCTGCCTTGCACTGAGCCTTGCCGGTCTGCAGTGTTTCAATGGAGTAGTTAGTATAACCATCTGATTTGAGGTGAACATCATGTTGTGGATTCCAGTCCTCCGAATCGATTCCATTCACTATTCCTTGCAATTTCCAGTCACTTTCATTTATAGTCCCATGTAAACCCCAACCACCTTCCACAGTTTTAATCTCCCAAGCATATCCATGGCTAACAGTAACCAATCTGTCAGCAGTCTTTAGCCCTGCTGCAAAGATATTGAAGTGCTCACCACCAACAGGGTCATATAACCTGAAAAGGTCCAAGTAGTGATCTGGTAGACCGACAAAACGGAAATCCTCCAAAGGCCCCCTACCCTGAATATGATATATCAGTTAGAATATACTACAAAGAGATTCAGATAATTAACCTCTAAAAGCACTCCTCATAATGGTAAATGCTTTCGGAATCTCCTCCGATCTCTCTTTTTATGGAATGTTCTATTGCATTCTCTTTTGTTTAAGTTCTATCCATGATTTTTTATAAAATTATATCAGCGAACAAAATCCCGGCAAATAATAGAGATAAATATGTAAATACACTAGGATATAAGCTCTTAATTTCGATCAAGTACAAAGCAAAAATATAAATAATCTGATTCCTTCCTTTATAAAACAAAACAATTCAAGTGAATTATCATTGCAGAGGACAAACCTGGTGAGCAATATTATGGATAACGAGAATGGATCTAGTGAAGGACATCAAACCATTGTATCGATAATAAGCCTTCAAGTAGACTGGCAATAAGGCAGTATGCCAATCATTAGCAATGAAAACCAGATTTCCATCTCCATAGCAGACACCTCCACATGGTACATACCAAGGAACCTGAATAAACCAGCTTCTTCACCATATGAAACCATAGTCTAATCGATCAATTATTTTTGACCAAAAATGAGGCTAAGCCAGAAAATAAGAAAAAGGTCTCGGGAAAACCTTAACTTTTCCAAGAATAATATTAAGAGCTTTCAGCACAGGAAAGAGCATCATTTACTTTTCACTCGTACACATTTATAATATGTATATCCATGACTATTGCCTTACAACTCTTTACATATAATAAATTAATATATGGACTTTAGAGATGACCATTAAGAAAAAATTAGTGTAAAGTAGACATATATTTTAGCAATTGTTTCTAGAAGCTGTGATGGAAACATGCTGATGTATCTTAGTGAACTCCACTTTACATTCGGCACGATTTATCTTAGAGAATAATTAAGAGGCCATTTGAAATCTCACACAATCAAAGAAATTAGCGAGGTGGTAGAACAAATGAATTTTTACATATTTTTAAGGCAATTTAGAAAATGCACCTCGACAGCTGCCTTGCAAAACAACACCATGCGCTTCAGAATATCCTGCACCACAAGATTAAAGTCGTGTAACATTCAAGACACCATGAGACTCATAGAAAAGCCTATTGCATCTCCTACTTGGTAAGGTTACAAAATATACTGTTTGAAACTAACGCATAGCAATTATTACATGTTTATAGCACTTCAACAGTCCAATCACACTAATGGAAGATGTTAAAGAAGTTTCATGAATTCTTAGGAAACTTAGCGACTTATAATCATCCTTAGATTAACATTAAAATTGATTTGATGGCCAATTTTTTATCTTTTCCTTTTCTCTCAGGTTTGAAGTAGATTTGGCATGTTGTGAACATAGCATATGCATTCCGATATCAAACTCAATTAAGACTTCTAATTACAACTTATTTAAATTACGAACTAATCATAACAAAACCGCAAGAGAACATATCATACCTGTCGTTTTCCTCCATATATGTCATTCTGCATATGGCGAAACATAGCAGTATCCATGAAAACAAAATCCACACCATCAATATAGGCGTGGTAATATGATACTTCCATATCCTACAAATAACACATCATCAAAAGATCATGCAGTGTAATTCAGCCTGTTTTGTTTAACAAACAAATGCCATGGTATTTACAGCAATATGTAACAGCTCTGTCATACCTGACCATCCACCTTATACTTCTTTCGAACTCCTATGTATTGCGGTTCAGCATAATCAGCATATCGAGGTGCCACAACCTAAGTAACAAATAAAGGAATTGACTAATTAACCATATAAAGTGCCACAGGGATCTGTAGGGTCATGTTTGGGTCTAAAGATAAAGCAAATATTGGGTGGTAAAATCGAATTGTTCATAAACTGGCAGAGTAAAAGAATGTCAGCAACAAGGAAAGGGAATTATACATACATAAAGGTTTAGCTAAACTAAGCCTAAGATTTAAATTGATTTGCATCATTTAATGAAGCTTCACATGAATAGAGTTTACATATATATTGCAATGCCAAGTATTCAATGTAACATAGAAAGTAGAAAATTTGTGTACCATAACCCTGTGTCCACGTCTAGCCAAAGCCTTTGGTAAAGAACCGGCAACATCTCCAAGGCCACCTATAATCAAGAAAAGAAAAGAAAAGAAACGATATACTATCATCTCAGAATATCTTAACTGGTATACTACCTGTTTTAGACCATGGAGCACATTCTGCAGCTACTAATATAATATTCATGACGTTTGCACCCACCAGTGGTGGGGGGTTTTCAACTTCAACGGCAGGATCATGTACCTCACCAACCACTCCCGAGTCTGTTTTGGTCGAATTTTCATTCTCTACAGCTGTAACTTGGGCAGGGTAGGAGGAACTCGAGGGAAAAGAAGGAAGCGTGATAGACTTAAATGCTTTAGAATCAGTGGTTTCCAACTGTTGGGTAGAATCTAAATTGGAGGAGGCCTTTTCTGAAGGCAAATGCACTTCAGGTTCATCTCCAACTTTATCTGAGGGTTGGATCTCCGATATGTCCTCCATAGTTGAAGTAACATGACTGCTTGAAGAAAAAATGCTCTCAATTTTTTCTTCATCCATTCTAACAGGGCTGCTTGAAGCGAAATCCATACTGGGAAGAGACTTATCCTTCTGCTTAAGAAAATTTTCATCTTCATCTAGGTCTGTAATACTACTTTTTATGGATGAAACCATTTTCCTTCTTTCTGCAATCTGCCAAGGATAAAGAAGATAGATAACACCATTTCGGTTTCAGTTCTCATGAACGACAACAGCAAGATAATATTTGTCTATTTACTATTTCATATGGCTACAAACTAGTCCACAAGGGAACTTATCAGCAATGAGGAATCTTACTATTAGAGCAACAATGTTCTTATACAATCCATGATAGCTACAAAGATTACTGGCTAGTACAGAGCATTTATTTTTTGCTTATTGATTCATTGGAGTTCCATTTCAAGATAGGTGTAAGATTAAAAGTTCCTATTCCAGAAAGGTTCGCAATTCCTTTACACAATTTCATTTTAATATTTATTTTACCAAACCATAACCCTTATTCAATATAAATAAACAACAAGACAAAACAATTATACATTAAAAAACCCATTTTCAATCAAATGGCAATATTTACAGTTAAAAAAACACAATTTATATTACATAACAAATATTTTCAATGAAAACACAATCGTCACATTCCAAAACACAGGATTATGCACAAAAAAAAAAAAGTTAAAAAAAAAACCTGTTGAAAGAAGTCTCTTTGCAAGGCAAGAACCTTCTTTCTCTTCTCAATTGTATCCTGGAGTGAATCATCTGGGTCATCACCGGTGCCACCAACAACATCCCGGGAACCCGCTACTGGCACAGACTTAAACCTCCAAAGCTGCCCTTTATTGAAGAACAAAGAACCCCCACTTGTTGAACCATTAAAAACAGCCAAATTTTCGATCTTTCTTGGTTTAAAAGTTGGGGAAGTGAGAACGTTTCTACTTTTTCTTTCAATGATGGAAGTCGAAGAGCCGCCAACGGACGCCATTGCCTAGTGCTAGAAACTATGTAACAAAACAAACCAATAAAAAGTGAAAAATAGGTATTTCCTTTAGTAATTAAAAGATGAATTGGGAAATGGGAATGACCAAAATGGGAAAAAAAAATCAAAGAAAAAATTATCGTTTTAGGAAGAAAAAATGAGTCTTTTTATTGAAAGAATGAGAGTAGAAACGAACCGAAGCATTTGGGATTTGACAACAGAAAGCAGAAGAACAAGGGTGAATGGCAAATTAAAGAGCGGAAAGGTAAAAGTATTGTACATCAGAAAAACATGGGAAACAATTGGAAAGCTCTCTCTTTTGAGGCTCAAATTGGCTGAAACTTTGCCGAACAAGAATCAGTTCACTTAATCTGCGTAAAGGGAACAAAAGGATTCATTCCAGAACCAAGCTTAAGGCTTTTTCTATCAATATTAGAAGAATTTTAAGATGATATCATTCCAATAACTAGCCTTAGTTCGATCACAGGGAGGTACCCTGTGAGGAAGCTGCTGGTGAAGGTAAAGGCTATTCCAGTCAAGCACTCCATGTCCATGCTCGGTTACTGAGTCATCGTTTATTGGAACTCGAGCACGAATGCAATGTGAATTCTCGGTAAATGCGTTTGTAGTATCCATGATTCCAACAGCGTACAATCAACGACAGATTGCTACGTGTTGAAAACCAAGCAACACCCAAGTACTGTTTAATAATTGCGAGCGCGGTTTCCATTTCGTGAGACCTTAAACGTAAAATGCTATCTGTTTTTATCAAAGAAAAAACAAAGTTTAACCTAATACAAAAATAAGTAGACGGTTTTGTTTTTCAACATGTATACAAGTGTATTAAAAAAGTTTTGTGTGTATAATTGTATTAAAAAATAAAAATTTAATTTGCATAATTGTTTCCGATCAAAATTCATGCATCACATTTAGGGATGGCAATGGGTCGGGTCGGGTCGGGTTTTTGGGCCACCCGACCCGACCCGAAAAGAAAGGGTCTTCCACCCGTGACCCGACCCGACCCGACAAAACTATAATTTCACCCGACCCGACCCGATAGACAATTTTAAAACCCGACCCGACCCGACCCGACCCGAATTTATTTTTATTTATTAAAAACAGACCCGACCCGACTCGATCATATCCGACCCGATTTTAATGTTTATTTATCCCAGCAGCCATTGGAGCTCTTCCAAAGCTCCAAGTCTTTCACTTGCTCATAACAAGCAATCAAGCAGTTTGATGAACGCAATGTGCTTAGCAAACACGGTTTGGGTTAGTTTTCATTTTTCAAGGCTTGTTACAAATTACAATCACAGATCACAGAATGGTGCTCTCTAATAGAAACGAGGAATATTAAATATATTAGTACATATAGTTCACAATTACCGCTTTCAAAACTAAATTCATAATTAAAATACATTCAGATTATCATCCTTATAAGATACATCTCATATGGTGCTCTCTATCCCTATCAAAACTAACACTTAAAAACTCAACATGGAAACAATTTTATAAATCCATAATTAAAATACATGTTCACAATTAAAATTATAAATCCATACAATACTTAAATAAGTTAAAAGTTCAAACATAATTATAATAAAACGAGACATAAATACGGATGTTCGATGGAAAAAAACATCCATTACCATCGGCTTGACAAGTTCACATTCTTCAATCTTAGCTAACCACTCAAGTAGTCAAATCCTATAAAATAAAATTATAAATTAATATTTTAAAAAAAGATTATGATAGGAGTAAAGTAACAAATATGAAATTATTACTTACAGTTATCTCATCTTGTTCGATCTCATCATCTTCATAAAAGTTGCCCTCATTTGAGTTTGATTCTAAAACATCGTAAATGAAAATAAAATCTAATAAGAAATAATGACAAAACATATAAGTAAAACAATGCAAAAATTACTTGATAAATATGTTTGTACCTTCTTCGGCCCATAACCAATTTTGACAACAAGCCAAAGCTTCTACAGTTGAATGATGAAGTCTATTACGTTGTGCATTCACCAATCTCCCTCCATTACTAAAAGTAGACTCCGAAGCAATAGTAGAAACCGAAATGGCATAAATATCTCTTGCAATAGCTTGCAATATAGGAAATTGTGGCCCAATTGTCTTCCACCAAGTCAATATATCAAAGTCCGACGTCCTAGAAATAACATCCACTTCTAAGTAACGGTCTAACTCAGATATGACTTGTGTTTTCTTTTGTCTCTTCCTTGAAACGTAAGCATCAAAATCACCTGGGTTACCCAAATCAACTGAAACACTATCCAAAGATGCACCGTTGAAGGGTTGAGGTTCATTCTTTGAGGACATTATTCTTTCTTCATACTCTGTGACCAAATCCCGACATAATTGCACAATTCTTTCAACTTCATGTTCAGCAGTAACCCCATAAATATTTTCAAAGTAATACTCCAATAATGTTGTTTTGTACCTTGGGTCTAAAACTGTGGCAACACCCATGATACCATTCATATCGTTCCAATATTTCTCAAATTTCTCCAACATGCACTTTGCCATTCTCGAAATAATGATATCACTATGTGTAATCCACTTATTCAATGCCACCCTAATCCTACAAATACTCGGAAAATAAAGATTTGATGTAGTAAATTTTGTACCTGAAAAACCTTCGGTGATCTCGTAGAATAACTTCAACTTATCACAGATCACCGATGCAAAAACCCAATCATCATCTGTTGGCAAGTACTTGTACAAAGGGTCACGATGTAACTGCACACAACGAGTAAAAACATCCTTATAAGATAAAGCTGTTTGGAGCATCAAGAAGGTAGAATTCCATCTTGTTCTAACATCAGAACATAGTTTTTTTGTAGTTGAAATACGCAATTGTCGTGCCGCCTCTTCAAATCGTTCCCACCTTTTTGGGGTAGCGCTCCAAAAAAGAACACTATGACGGATTCTTTCTATACCATCTCCAATCACACTTAATCCATCTTTAACAATCAAATGCAATATATGTGCACAACAACGCATGTGGAAAAAAGCTCCGTTAAGCAATAGCGTATTAGCTCCCATCCTATCAACCAACAACTTAATGACACCATCATTCACACTACAATTATCAACTGTAATAGATGTGAGTTTCCTATCAATATTCCAATCTAGGAAACATTTCATCAAACTAGAAGCAATGACATCAGTGGTATGTGGAGCTGGTACATATTCGAACCTAATAAAACAACAAATAAAATGAATTAATTTTAAACATATCGAAACATAACTAAATGTATAAATATATTTAAACAATTACCTTATAACGTGCTTTTGTAAACTCCAAGAGTTATCAATGTAATGTGCAGTAACAGCCATATATCCTTTATTTTGGTGGTCTGAAGTCCACATGTCAGTTGTTATAGCAATTCTGCCTTCATTAGCCTCCAACTTTGACAACATATTTCTCTTCTCCTTTTCGTACAGATCCAAAATATCACGTTTGATAGTATTGCGAGTAGGCATTTCAAACATAGGTTGTAGACTAGAACAATACTTTCTAAACTGTGAATGATCCACTATCGATAAAGGATATTCATGCATGATTATCATCTTCGAAAGCTCTTTCCTTGCCACATCTTGATTAAATGAGAAAGCCCCTATTGTTAATTTCCATCCGACTTCTTTTGATTAGCTATTAAGACTTGTTGTCGAATGTCTACTTGAACTCGCTTCTTGCACCTTTTGATATGATCACGCAAGTGACTTGTCCCATTCTTAGATTCACCATTGAATTTGTTTTTGCAGTGGTTGCATATTGCCTTCCACTCATGTTGATCTTCTCTTTTTTAAAGTGATCCCATACCATAGACTTTAGTTTTGATGAAGTGCATTCGCTTGACACATTATTTTCAACCACAACATTTGGTTGACTTAATGTAGGAACTGAATTTCCTTCAGAACTTGGTGATGGACTTCCCTCGGTTGATAGTTGTGGAGAGTTAATAGTATGAGATGTGGATGAAATGGAATTCTCTCCCAAGTTAGACATTTCCTGTACAAATAATGATAAAAACATCAATTAATATATCCTAAACTTAAATCAATTAATATATCCATAACTGCAAAAGTTAAGTTTATAAAGTAAAATTAGCTACATCAAATGAACACAACATTTAGAAAGAGCAAAAATACAAGGAGAATACCATTTTGTCAACCTAAGTTTCCCTTGTAGGCTAATTAAAAGTACAAGTTGAATCTGAAACACACATTCGCTTATTATAGGTTACAGATACTAGCAATATAACAAGTCAACAACCGAAAAAATGAATCTTCATTTTAGGTTTCAAAAGTGAAAATAAACAATGATAACCGAGTAAAACTAGAACAACATATGTGTGACTATATATATATATATATATATATATATATATCACTGTGATACTCAGATCCCAAAACTAACATAAAATCATTTTTTGCTCGCATTATGAGAGCCAAAGCCGATCCTCAAAAAGTCATAAAATCAAGCACCCAATACGATCTATGTGAATTTGGAGTTACATCAGTCGACTAGTAACATGAGGCTTTGGCCATCCTCTTAGCATGCTTCTTCATGGAAAAAAAATTCAACAGCTAAAGTATAAAGAATGGCATTTCCTTGATATCAATAATAATTTTACAGTTTCCACCCAGGGAGAAACAATATTATTATTGTCTCACTGAAAAGTGAAACCATTAAAACAATAAGGTTTTATCAAACAGAAAAATTATAGATATCACCATAATTTTGTCGTCAAACTCGAATATTCCAAAATTCAAAGGCAAACATCAAACAGAAATGTTTAAGTACGATGGAATATGATTTAAAAAAAGATGAAATAAGCTGGATCTAACAATAAACCAGAATAACTATCAAAATGAACCATTTATAGTGAACTACAACTGTCAAAATGGAATATTTACACTGAACAAACAATATAAAAAACATAAGGTAATTGTTAAAGCTGGATCTAAAAACAAATGTTGCAAACAAGATTTGTTGTCCGTAACAAAAATCAAGAAATGATATCTCAAAAACAAAATTTAACAGAGAGAATTTATCAGAGATACATGAATGGTTATCTGTTTTGTTGCTTAGAGAATTTAACAGAGAGAGAGAGATGCAGAGATATCAAATACCTGAAGTATAGAAATCAAAAAGCGAGTTGTTGCGCTTGCGTCGGTGGCTCAAACCCTCGGTGGAGAATTTACAAAAGAAATTAGTTAGAGATCTGACCTCAGCGTTTAACTGGTTTAAGTGTTTGAACTTTGAAGATATGCTGCAGATGCTTTGTCGACTAGGGTAGGAAACTAGGAACAGGGAAAGCAAAAAAAGTAAATATATATATATATATATATATATATATATGCAGTAACTATGCGGGTCGGGTCGGGTCGGGTTATTTTAACCTTAAATCCGACTCCGACCCGACTTCGAAAATTTTAATATAAAATCCGACCCGACCCGAATCCGAATTTTTTTAAAAAAAATCCGACCCGATCGGGTCGGGTCAGGTCGGAACCCGTCGGGTTCGGGTTCCATGGCCATCCCTAATCACATTGCACATGAAATCAAAAGTCATTTAAAATGTGAGCTTTGATAATTTTAGAAAGCTCACACGTCTCCTTTCCTTTTGGTTTAGGTCAATTTGAAGTCATTTAAAATGTGAGCTTTGATAATTTTATTTAGTATTTATATTTTGACGAAATATTTAATTTGATATATATTTTTAAAAAATTTCAATGTCATATATGTATTTTAGAAAGGTATAATATTATTGGAACACATCCCTTACCGAATTGTATAAAAGATGAATTATCAATTGTAATCCCTTATCGAAACACGTCCTCATCAAATTACACATTAAGAATCTATAGCTTGGAATTGGGACCGAATTTGTCTGACCCAAGATAGGAGACCGAATGTCCCAATTTGTTTTGTTGTGTTTTTCTTTAGTACTTGAATTGGAAGGCCTAACTGTTTGGTGTTGTAAGAGTTTTGTAATTTGAATTTATATAAGATTATATTTTAATTATTAGATAGAAGGTATTTGGTAGAACACTTAATCATCTTTAAAAAAAAATTGTTTCAGATCTAGAGATCTTTGAGGTTAAGTATGATGAAGAGGATTTGGATTTAATCATATTTTATTCGTTGTCCCTTCTTTATTCAATTTTTGGAGATGCAAATTTATATAGTCGTGAATTTATTATAGCTGACGAAGTTAATGATTTTGAAATATAATTTGATTTTGAGATGTAACTTTTCTTATTTGATCTTTAGAGATACAATTGTGTATAATGGATTACCAATATTATATGATTTTGATGTTAATCAAAATACAATTAAATAGATTTAATTATGTAGGAATAATTAAATCACGGACCAAAATGATATAATTATATTTAAACGTAAAATAAGCTCAAATATAAAGAAACATTTACCTTAAAAAACTTAAATTTAAATTAATTCGACTTAAACCAACCCAAATATTTAGCAAGGTAGAAAAGCATACCACATGGTTAGAATGGGGGAATAACATGTTAGAACAACAAATAGAGCATTGACTAAGATATCTTATTAAACATTTTACATATATCGGAACAACAAATAGAGCATCAACTAAGATATATATATATATTGCCATTGGTTACAACTAAGATACCTTATGAAACATCTTATCTAAAATAAATTTTAACGAGAGAAGAAAACAAACTTGACCGTGTAAGATTTAACCGATTATGAAAAACATCATTTTAGGTTTTAACAAAGTTCAATCACGAAAACATAAAAGATCTTGTTCTGGCTTGTAATAATTGTGGAAATAAGTGGCAATCGGTAGCCAAAAAAGGAAGAAAAATACAAGCTCGCTCTTCAAGGAAAAACTTTCCACCCCTAAAGAAAAAAGATGACTAATTGATTAACCTAATTTGCCTTTTAAGTGTATATGTACAATAATAATGAAATTCTTCAAAATGGACATCTACCCGACTGAATTCTACGTATACCCGAAGGATTGTTCCCTCCATACTCAAATACCTAACTTGAGGACGCAAAAATATTCTAACTCAGCTCACATGCTAAATATCTAACCTTTTTGGTGACCACAAAATCTGGCCGTATTTTCCTTTATGAGTGAAAAGAGTTTGGAGATGTATTTTTATTTGCTTCTGTTTCTATGTACTTGTAAGATATTCTTTAACCATCTTTTTCTTTTGGTGTTGAGATTAGTGGAAACTATTCAACAACAGTACTGAAATCTTCATTTTCATTACAAATATTTGTTTTGGTTTAGACAAGATAAACACGAATATTACAAATTTAATAAACATGTTTAACTCAAAAGGCCAACCTTTTTGTTCAAACCCAAGTGGTTAATTGCCTTTCAAGTACATCACTATCACACTTTCCCATCATTAACAACCAGCAGAATATTAGACCAACATTAGGAAATATTCTTTTTAGTGATTGGATGTGTGGGGCCTTTTCAAATTAATTACAAAGTAATCTAATTATCATACAAGGGAAACATCCCCTCACAAGTTAATGTTAGGTGTAAAACCATGAAACTTTCACTTTCACAAGTACAATCTATTTTAGTTCAATTTCAGCATTCTTTAACACGCTATATCCTCTTGAAGTGATTTTTTTTTACAATAAACTATTAATATAGTCGATCAAAATCATCATTTTCTCCAGATTTTAGCCAAAGTTTATCCCTATCAAGTATTATGAACTTAAACACATTAACAAGCTAGGTCAACCATGGATCACCATTCATAAAAAAGGGGAAAACTCCCGTTAATTCCTTCATCAACAACATGATACAAATGCCTTTTACCTCTTCATAACATAGAAAAACAAGCTGAGAAAAAAAATTCATTCCTTCAAGAAGCACACACACATATATATATATAAGCAAACGTTAAAGAAAACCTAATAAAGCAAATATATTGAGTGATTACATGGTAAAACCTTCCATTTATACAAACATGAGTGCTCCAGTGGAAGAAGGTGAAGAACAGTCACAACTCACAAGCCACTTCGGCTTCAACTTCCCTTCTATGGAAATTCCTATAGCAGCCACATGCAGCACAAGTAAGGGCTGCAGCCGTCTCTTCTCCGGTCGCCATGAATTCCCGGCACCCATCGACCGCATATCCTCCGACTCCGGCGGCATGATTCTTTTGGCACTCCCCATATCTCACACTTTTAATTGTCGTCGATGAATTGGTTCTGCTTCTTGGTGGTTCCTCCCTTCTCACAACCACTTGCCTCTTCCTCATGTCGGCGATCGATCCCCGAATCGTTCCTTGTAACACTCGTAAAACTGAAACCCAATGAATAGTAAAAAAGGGAACAGAAAAAGGAGGGAGATGAAGAGTAAGAGAAAATGAAGAATACTAGTAAGAGAGGAGAAGCCCTAACCCAAAGGGACATATTTATAGCAGAGCTTCTTACTTTAGAATGCTATATTGTTTTTGCAGTTTACTTTAGAGCTTCTTGATCGTTGTTAGATGATTATTGAAACAACTCATTAGAGTTTAGTATAGAAAATAAAGCCATTGCCATTAAGCTAAGTTTTAAAACTGTTTAATTCTTGATATTATATTTGCTGTTTTTTATTAATATATTCAAAATAAGCCATGGAATTGTAGAATTCCAACGCCATGTCATTTCTTACTAATCTTTTCTCAGAATAATTGTATTCCAGTCGATATGAGTTTAAGTTCCCAATGTTTCCGAGACAATCATTCGACATTTGTTAGGTAATGCCGGTATGAGATATTGACGGGAGAGTATACAATGTTGCAATGCCCTACCAATTTTTGTCATTTTTCATTTTCAGTGAACACTATATTTAGGGATACAAGTGATCAGATTGTTTGATAAATGTTCGCTTATTAAATTAAATAAACAAGTGTGAATAAAATTTTCATGTCCATTTAATAAACGAAAACAAACAAATATTTGTTCGGTTTATTTATGTTAACGAACAAATTCGTTTATAAGCTCATTTACTCGCTTCTCTGTTTTCTTTTATATTTTACATTTTAAATATTGGTGAAGATATGTACTAAATTGAATATAAGGTTAATTTTGGAGTTCAAACTATGAAGCTTAAGGAACTTAAGGATTAATGGTGTAATTTCACCTTTTTTGGCTTGCAAATAAAAGGGTAAAAAGAGTGCTAGTTGTCTAACGTCAAATGAACATGTTTGCGAACACTAAAAAAATGAATAAACATGAATATTTTAAAAAATAAATAAACGAATATGAATACGATACTAGAACTTAAATAAACATGAATCGAACATAAATATCTTCAAAAATAAACAATGGATCACAAATATAACTTTATTCGTTTAAATTTGATTCATTTACACTCTAACTACATTATACATATTTAAGTGAAAATTTAAGATGTCAACTCCGAAGTAGGAGTTAATCATAAATGATGAATACTTTTCCACTTGTTGATAAGTCAATTATAATGATTTAATAATAACCCCAAATCACTAATCTCTTCCGAATTGTAAATTATTAACGGAATAATCCGATAATTAATCCTTATCAAATGAACAATTACTAGATAATACGTATAACGATTTAATTCTTTGACATCTTTACGAATAAAAAGGATCCAATATCTAATTAACAAACTATTTTAACTTAAAATCTAAATATATTTTTCCTAGAAATTAAATTAGAAAAACATAATTTAAGAAAACAAAACAAAGAAATTTATATTAAAATAAAAAAATGTCGGCCACTGCCAATTGTTATCCAAGTTTGACGTGAATTGCCAATTAAAAGCCTAAAAACCAAGTTGTCGGCCACTGTCTGTATTTCTCTTTTATAGAGAAAAAACTTAAAATCTGTTTTTGGTAAATAATAAAAATATTGAAATATAAAACATCATAATGAATAAAAATAAAATTTATATGTAGTTTGATTCTTTTCTTTCTTCAGTAAAAGTAATTTTTTCTCACGTTTCAGATTTTTTAAATTTCCCCTAATTTATCACCTTACCTTAATTTTATTTTATGTTCTTACTTTTAGGTTAATATTATGTTCTTACCTGGAACATCAATTTATATATATTTTTTAAATTGAGAAAGGGGATAATTAATTTGAGGATGAAATTTAATTAATATTATATGTTAAGCACATTGAATTAAATTAAATATAGTGGTATCCCAAATTTCTATATTTTATGATGGGACATTATAGAAATCATATCAGAAGTGCCAACAATGAACTACTCAATCTCTAAAAGATTTGGTTAGCAAAGTATTTGATAGAAAATTTTGGGCTTAAAAAAACCCACAGTTGGTTTAAAAAATATATCAAATATGATGTGAAAAATTCTATTTTTTTTTTTCATTTGCAATAAATATTGGTTTTGTCACTTGAATTAATTGAACACTAAGTAAAATTATCTTATCTTGGTTTTCTTTTTCAATAATAAAATATCGATCCAAACAAATAAAAATCCTTTGGCATTGGATAATATATAATATTGAGCTTAATTATTACCATAATAGGTTGGTTTGAAATATATGAAAACTTGGTTTTATTGGCCAAGTTATAAAGCTAGCTGGTAGCAATTGCAAGATATATTTCCACATGCTGGACTTAAATGCAGCATTTTACCTGATGCATCAGACCACATGATTCTGTCTTGAAGATTTGTTTTGCCCATTGAACCCCCAAAAAAAAACCATTCATCCATATTGTATACAGTCAAGATTTATTGCTAAAAGAATTGTGTAATAGAAAAACATTATGAATAATGAAACAAGCTTTCAACTTGTGGGCTTTACAGTGCATATTTATTTATGACTGCAATTGAAGGGAGGCTGAGGATTATCATCCATCCATCCTGGAAAACACAGGCAACGAAATCAAAAGGCTTCACATGTTTGCATTTAAGACCATTCCCTTGCTATTTATTATCTCGCCCTTCGAACTATACTGCATCTCTGGAGTAAGGATCTTGTGACATTTTGGGTTGTAAAATCACCTTTCATTATCACTGCTTGCCATGCTAATACTAATACTAATATATTATAATTTAAACACAGAATAATTACATAAGATAAATGTGACATCAAATGAAAAAAAAAATTATAATATCGTAGGGATATACAAGTGTATCAAAATAATATGAATACAAAGGTCACTCTATTCATAGGAAGCCAATATTTACTTATTATTATGGGGTGTAGCTAGCCTACCTAATTACTGCTACCATTATTTTAATTAAATTTAATTAAAAGCAAATGCAAAATGTTGGTGGTTGACTTTCCTTCAATAACAATGGGTCATGGGATGCATATCCTCACAGGGAAGTAAGTAAAACTTTTATAATTCTTCAATAAATTGGAGGCCTTGCTATTAATAATAAGGTCTTCGTTCATTTAATTTTTCATTTTTTTATTGTTTTTAAGCTATTTCTCTTAAGACACTTTAAAAAAAACTAATTAACAGGTTATTGATAATAAATGATAATAATATTATCATAAGTTTTCAGTTCTTTTTTGCTTTTGTCCAATATAACATATCCAGCAAAGATTGAATGGAAACATCAGTAATTCATCTCATAAATCTGAAGTGCAAGATTAAAAAGAAAAAAAAAACTGCTGATTTCTCTAAGCAGATAATCAAGACACAAATATGGTTATTCTGAATCAAAGAAAGATATATAATCTGCCACAATAATGTGAAATTTATACATTAAATTTGTTCCACCATTAAAAGGGTGACTAATACTAATTTCTTCATTTAACAAAACCTAATCCCAAAATACAAAGTATTATCCCAAAGAAGCCATTTAAAACAAAAGACTCCTCCTTCCCCTTAGAAAAAATTAAAATTTTCTTCTAATCCCAAATCACAAAGTTGGTAATCTTTGCCTTGATTTACACCTTCATCGAAAAGCCATTCCTCAAGCAATGAAAGTTGGGTTTGGGCTCTAAGAGTTGGCTTACTTTCATCTTGTGAAAGGCTTGCCTCTGGTGACATGGACTGTGAGATATTACAAATGGAATAATCTAAAGATTCAAACCCTAAAACTGATTGAAAACCCTCAGTCATCTCTTTACTGTTCTTGTCTTCCATCATTGAATCAGTACCTTCTTCACTAGAATCTGCAGAACCAGCCATTTTCAAGGGATTTCTCATCCATCCTTTCAACAACTTGGCTATGTTTTCTGTGCTTGAAGCATATCCACTTGGTTTGACATAAGATGTGGTGCCATTAAAAGGTACAAACTCAGCTGAACGACTTGATTTCTCTGGGGATAATGCATCAGATAAAGCTTTTTTAGCCATGTGAATATCAGCCTGCAACTTTCTCTCCCATTGGCCTCTAGAAATCTGGTATGTTGATGATGAAGATGAAAACCCATCTCTGGAACAGCCTTCGTTGCCTTGGAGCTTCTTCAGCTTCTTCTTCAAATGAGTGTTCCAGTAGTTTTTAATGTCATTGTCTGTTCTTTGAGGAAGGTAAGATGCTATTGCAGCCCATCTGCAACCATATTAAATGCCTCCCGTTTATTACATTTGTTTGGCAAAACCAACTTTACTCATGACTAAATAATAAAAGAAGAAAACTTACCTGTTGCCTAAAAGAGCTTGAAGGTGGATTATCATTTTCTCTTCATTTTCTGTAAAGTTTCCCCTTTTAATCCCAGGCCTTAAGTAATTAGTCCATCTAAGCCTGCAGCTCTTGCTACATCTAAGCAACCCTGAAAAAAAAAGATTAACACTTGCATGACTGCATTGTGTTTTAAGAACAAACACCAGAAAAGAACAAGAAGCAGTTGTGTAGGAGAAATATAGGAAGGGGGGGAAAGAAACCTGTTTTGGTGGGAACAGCCCTCCAATTCCCAGGACCTTGTTGTTGAATATAAGACACCAGGATGATATCTTCTTCAGGAGTCCATGGCCCTTTCTTAACACCAACATTGTCGCAACAAGGTTGTCTTCCCATTATCAGCTTGTTGGTTGTTTTTTCTTTCTTTTGAAATCTGCAGTTGATTTTAGTTAATGATATATTGGGAGGTTTAAGACAAAAGGAGTTTGATGTTGAAGGCGTTTCATATATAGGAACTGAAGTTTAAGACAGATGGGATGGTGACTTCAAATGAGGAAAAGGGGTGGCCCTTCCCAGTTCCAACTCCCACCCCAAAGAGTCAAAAAGATGACAGCAATTGCATTAACTCAAGGAAAGAGAATGGTAAAGAGCTATCACACCTCCTCCATATTATCATCCTTCGTACTTTTACCGAAACAGATTAGAACGGAATAAACTCGTTTTTAATTAATCGATGAATTCGATCAAGAGTGTAAATGAACATAACGTTTGATGAATTATTTTTAAATCGATCATATCTTGTATAATATTTATTTATTAAATTAAATAAATGAATATAAATAAAAATTTTATATTCATTCATTAAAGGAACGAATATAAATAAATATGTGTTGGATTCGTCTATGGTTATAAGTAAGCTAGTTTAAATGCTCATTTATCGAGTCTCTTTTTCTTTTTTTACATTCTAAACATCGGTGAAGATAGAGAATAAATTGAACATAAAGTAAAGAGTTCAAACATTGAAGCCTAAGGAGTTAAAGGACTAGTGGTACAATTTCATCATCGTTGAACATATAAATGAATATATTTTTAAACGTTAAACGATAATATTTGTGAACACTAAACATGTTTACCAACAATAAGTAAAAGAATATAAATACGATATTAAAAATTTAAACGAATACAAACTGAATATGAACAACTTCAAAAATAAACAAACGATTATAAACATAATTTTATTCGATCAAATTTGATTCATTGAAATCCCTAAATAGAATATTTATAATTATAAAAATAAATATATATTAGTTAAAATAATCTTTGGAATTTAAATTTAGATAATGCAAATTAGAAACACCCGACCAGATTTTATTTTTAGAGTAAAAGTCAGCTAAGCTGTAGCAAAGTCAATGCTCTTCTTCTGCCTGTGGAAACCGCGTCGCATTGAATGCGAGTTGTTCTCCTAAAGCCTAAAGGAAACCTATAAAACCAGTCTGCCTCTCCCTCTGCCATTTATTTACATTACTGTAACAAACAAAATAAAATAAAATTAAAGCGCCCACACAAAACAATTACTCATGAACAATAATTTACTGCAGATATGGGATTCTTTTCACGACTTTTTTTTCCTACCATTTTTTAATGATTAGTTGCTATATTATTTGTAGGGAGAATTATCTTATCGACGTGGATATAAATTGTTTTAGATAATATTTATGAATTTGAATTTAGATTTTAAAAAAAAAACTAAATAATAAAAAACTTAAAAAATAACATTCATGATTATTTTTAAATTCATTAGCAGAAACAAAATCAAGATATAATATTAGGATGATCAAATTATCTTGACTTTAAAATTGATGGAAATATAAATATATTTAAACCAAATAAATAAAGAATAAGAATTAAATTATTTAATTTCAAGATTGACATAGATCAAATAAGCATTTAAATAAAAAAATAAAGAAAGAAAGTTTAATTTGATTAATTTCAAGAATTATAAGGACCTCAAATGTATTTAAACAAGAGGAATTAGAGAGAAAATTTAATTTTTAGGGCCATAACCCCTCATTGTCATCATTTGTCCCTGTCCCTGTTTGTTTAATACGTATTTAGTAATGAATTTGAAATGTTAATTGTAGATGCTCGATTTATCCGGGGCTAAGTCGGAACATACCCGAATCAGAGTAGTTGGAGGCCCAATTCAATGACCAAGCCCAGTCCACGTGAAATCCTAAAAAACTAAAAAAACGGTTATTGGGAGTTAACCAAAGCAAAGTGGAGGTGAGGGTCGGTTCTTAGGCATTAACCATCAGATACAGAGAGAAAAAACACGGACACAGAGGGAGATTAAAAAAACAGGAACCACCACGAGAGGAGAAGAAGCAAAGAACCCAATTAACTATCAGCAATTCCACAGTGTAAACAGGATACGAAAGAAAATAGTAGTGTAATCTTATAATTCAAAAACAGATAAAGCAGTAAATGTACGTTTTTTCGAGGAATTCTTCTTCAATTTCTTTTATTTTTCAGTTTGTTTTCTTTGTTGTTTCGTATGTCTGTGATTGTTATTTAAAACTGAAAATTGAGAAGGTATGGGGAAACAATTTGAGTGGGCTCTTAAGCATTCATCTTTCTTCAGTAAGTCCCATTCAAGATCAATACAAAGCACTAAAAGAAAGAACTAAGCATTTCTCACATTTTTCTGTTTTGGAAAAGAAATAAAAGTAATTCAATCAATTCTCTTACCCATATCCGATTCACACAAGAAATAACACCAATGAGAAATCCCTTTTTCATTTTCAAGGGCATTTTCCTAATATAGTTTCGAACCAGAAAATGGGAATAGAAAGTTAGGGTCGTTTACCTTGGTTTCTGTTGACGGTCAGAGTTAAGGAGTGAACCATCTTGAACGGTGGCCGACTTTATTAGGCTCGATTGTGTAGAGTTGTAGGACGAGAGGCGGTGATGGCGAGCTATGGTCGAAAGAAAGGTGGCCACCAAAGTATGGTGGCCAAGCAATTTAAAACATGACCGAGAGATGGAGGGGGTTCATGTGTTGAACGGTACTGTGTGTGGCTGAGGGAGAGATGGAAAGTGGAGAGAAGGGGAGGAAGCTGAACATGTTCCACGTGAATTGTGTTTTTCAGTTTTAGTTTAGGTTTAGGTTTAGTTTTTTTTGGGAAAATTAGTTTTTTAGCCATCGAATTTTTAAGGTAAATATGTTATTAGGTCCTTATATGTTTGGTTTATTTTTGCGTTTTAATCACTTTCAGCACTGTTTTTTGAATTAACCTTTTGTGTTTGTCCTAATTTAGTTATTTTCCAGTTTTTAGTTTTAGTTATAATTTTGTTAGATTATTTGGGTGTAGATTCCTCATTTATGTGCATGTTTCATTTAGATCATTACTTTAGTTTTAATTTGTATGTCAAATTTTACATTTAGTTAAATTTAGTCTTAATTCTAATCTGTATATATACTTTTTAAATTTTTAGTTTAGCATGTTATATTCTTGTTTTTATATTTTAGTCATATTTGTACATTATAGGTTAGTATGCATGGTTTATAATTTTAAATTTAGAAATGCATGTGTATAATTTTTTTTGTATGTCACGTTGTATGACCTTTTTTATTTTGTTTAATTAATTTTGGTATGACATTTTTTGCACAATTTGTATGATATCCTCATTTGCATAACTCGACATATTACATAATCGGACTAAAGGGTAATACCCTTTTAATTTAAAATTGTCCTAAGTGGCCTGTCTTAACTGATTAGAGGGTCGTTTTGACGATTTTAAATTAAAAGTGTAACCCGAAAGTGAAACCAAAAAATTGATTCGTCACCTAAAATTTGGGAGCGAGAGAAAAGGAAATGTTTGTTTATTTAAATTTATCGAGAAAAGGTTGTTATATCTTTAAGATCTGGTCTCGATATTTGTAAATAATCGAACATTCTTTATCTTTCTAAAACGACTTGGTAATTTTAATTTAATTTATTTGAGTGCTTTTGAATATTATTAAATTCACATCTTTGTTTTATGGGATCAAAAGTTAAATTAAGTTCGAATTTGTAAAGTTTATTACAAAGACGTTAATTAATCGACTAGGTACCGTTTTAGGGCGTTGTGGGGGTACTAATCTTTCTCAGCATGTAACCGACTCCCGAACTCAGATTTTTGGTAACGCATACCTTAATTTGTTGTTTTAATTAAAATTAATTTTTATTTAAAATAACAAACATTTTTTTGGGTGCCCAATCACACCCTAATCAAAGATTGGTGGCGACTCTTTGAACCGTATTTTTTCTATCGTAAAGGAAATCCAAAATTTTTCGAAACGAGAGATTTTTAAATTTCATTTGTTTTTAAATTAAAAGAGATAATTCAAAAATTAATGTGGTTTTCAAAATCTCGCTTTTTCATCACTTTTGAGAAAAAAATCGTTTCGACAGCTTGGCGACTCCACTGGGGACTTTTTTTAGAGAGTCAGGCCGATAGTCGATTAATTAATTGTCTTTGCTATTGAAAATTACAAATTCGTTTTAATTTGGTTTTTGATCCCTTGTTTGGTTTTTAATAAGTTTTGTTTGTATTTTGATTTTTTTAAATTTAATTCGATTAACAATTATATAGTTGTACTAATTTGTTTGCTAATGATTTCAGATTAATCGTATGAATTTAGGAAATTTTGAGTGTTTTTATTGTGCCCTTTTCGCTTTTCCTCACACACTGCACAGTTGCATTTTCATGACATGAGCTAAAACCCCGCTCCGTCCTAATTAAGTAGGAGTGAGATACTATGCCCTCGTGTGGTTTTCACCTCCGTATGGGATAGTGGATCGCTCCTGGAGCTCACGCCTTATGGTCCTCGTGATGGTAATCACCTCCGCATGGACATAGGGAGGTGTGTTCCCTCGAAATTGAACTCGATCCCCTAAAGCCAGTGATGAGCCAGGATTGAGGGTTCGGTAGCCCAAGGGGGCACCGACAAGGACAATTCGAGAACCTATTACTTTAGAACCTAACCCGGCATATAGTGAACGTAGAGCCTGAACTTAGGTTGAACCAAACCCGAACCTTAAGAATCCCGTGAAGAGGGTACACAAGGAAAAGCTTTTTTTGAGTTATTTATTTTCGTTTTTCGAATAAATGCATGCGAACTAGATATCATGCAGTTAGGTTTATTTTTTGAATAAGCATGCGAATTAGATATCATGCGGTTAGGATTTATTTTTGTGAATAACAAAGCATGGGGGTAGATATCATGTTGGGTAGGATCTGATAAAGCATGATTGGGTAGCCAACATGTGAGTAGGATTCTTGAACAAATTATTACACCGATTTAATTGATTTATGTTTACTAACTGATCTTTTGTTGTCTTTGCTTTATTTATTTTCTGTTTTGCATTGCAATGTCCATTACATGGTGTTGATTTGGGATTGATGTCCATATAGAAGGCCAGTAATATGGAACGAACGATTCAGAAAGAGGTTGAGGACAATACTGATGTTCTGAGGTAGTCAGAACAGTCCCAACTGACCAATAGGGATAGCGTGATGCCTTGATACATATCGGAGTTATTTGGTTATACTCACATCAACGTGCGTCAGAATGATCTAAGTGAGCTAAAGAAGATATGGGGAAGATGGACAGTAGTCGATAAGGAGATGTTTTATCAGTTGTACGGCGATATTCCTTATCTTCTGGATGTTCCTATTGACCTAAATCTGTTTAGAGCGTTGGTGCAATTCTGGAATCCGGCTTACAGCTGTTTCACATTTGGTAGAGTGGATCTAACACCAATAATAGAGGAGTATCAAACTTTGGTCCATTGTTAGAGGTCCCAGATGGATAGAGTATATACCAAGCTGCCAGTCACTCATTTGTTTAAGAAGAAATTACTATTGATGACCGGAATGAGTAAAGATTGGGTAATCAGAAACATTAAGAAGAAGGGAGACAGTGAGTGTATCTTTTGGGCTACTTTGAAAGAAGTAATTGATCATCACCCTGATAAGAGAAAGAAGCTTGACTTGTTTGCTTTAGGGATTTATGGGCTCGTTATTTTTCCAAAGGTGCTAGGATATGTAGACGTATCAGTCGTTGACCTGTTTAAAAGATTAGACAAGCACGTGAATCCTGTTCCAACCATTTTAGTTGAGACATTTCGGTCTTTGAGTTCTTGT